AATACTTTTTTTTAAAAAGATAATAAATAAATAAATTCCACAGAATTCGCTACCTCAGAATTGCAAGGTTCTATCTGACATATTTGGCTGTATAGAGTAACTAAGGCCACGAGGCCAGAGAACAACACATGTTCAAATATTGTATCTGCTCTATAACAATCGTCAGATTGTTTTGAGTCGTTATCAGGATACATAATAATATATTCAAAAAATTGCATTTGAAAAAGCTTGACACTTAGTGAAACTCCAATTTTTTAATGTCAAATTTCTCAAAAGTAGGTGCTGAGCAGATAGTACTTTGTAATTTTAGGGTAGCGAATTGCACTCTTTTGCACTTGTTTTTGTGCCCTCATCAGTACGAATTATACCACTTAAGAAGCGGCGGCAAGCTTCGATTCTGCCTGCCAAAACTAAAATCAAACTGAGGGGGGTACATAATAATAAAGCATCAGCTGTTAGCAAGACACATAAATACTGCCACGACTTACCCACACAGTATCAAGAGGGTGCTATAATATGTCATAATTTATTGCTCTATATGCATGGATTCATAGATTCTCGACAGTCAGTTGTGTCTGTCTTATCAGTATTAGCATTCATACTGTATTTGCACATGTTTTACGTCCCTTTCAACACAATTTAGGTCACTAAGGAGACAGGTTGCTGTCATAGCAAGCGCCTGGCTGAGTGGGATACCATCTTATCAGGCAGATGAAGATAATCTATGACAGTTTGCCCGTCTCGGGAATCGAACCCATTCCTTCTTTACGCAACAGCAATGAGTTTAACCTTAAAACCACAATCGCTGGTTAAAACAATAACAATTAGAATTGTAACAGATTGCATTTATATGGCGCTCTATCCCATACGAGTTTAAGCTCAAAGCGCTTTACCTCAATCACATTATTATAACTATTAAGGCATACATATTTGTCCACAATCTAAGCACACAGAGCAATAAACTATGAGATGCAATGCAATCTTGACTCTGATATACTTGTATACGTATGATGTTTTAGTACAGTCGAACTTGTTCAAGAGGACCAACCGTTGCAAAGAGAAAATTGATCATCTTAGACAGGTGGACAGTGCCATCGTTATATTGTAAAAAATGCAGAAAGGGGGAAAAATGGAGGGGGGGGAGAGAGAGAGAGAGAGAGAGAGAGAGAGAGAGAGAGAGAGAGAGAGAGAGAAATTGGAGCAGTGGTCGTTTGTGCTGGTGATTGCCTTGGATAGATAGTCGTAAGAGCAGGCTCGACTGTAGGCTAATAGATCTAAATGCTCCCTAACATTCAAGAATACTTTCACAAGGTCTTACCTATAATAAACAGCTCGTCCCGAAGAGCCTTCCAGAGTGTTGACAACTGTGTGAACTAATCACGGGCCCCTTCTCCTCATTTCAATATCCCCCACACCTGGAAAGAGATCCTGGTTAGATTTACAACAACGCTCGGCTCGCTTCCCCCCAAGGCTCTCGGGTGCCCCGCTATCACTATCTTGTACCTGCTGTACCCCACTGTCGCCAGGTATTGTCCCCCTTTACCACACGAGTTGTGTCCCCTTTGAGTTGTCCGTCCTACCTTATCTCCTCTTGTCATTGTGAAAGGTTTTTGGGCAGGCGCTCGACGGTCTAATTTCAGCCTGCTTGTCCTGTGGTCTACTGTACAGCTCTCTACACCCCAACCCCTACCCCCCACCCTGCCCTGTTTCTCTCTTTTTTTGTCTCTGTCTGTCTGTCTGTCTGTCTGTCTGTCTGTCTGTCTCTGTCTGTCTGTCTGTCTGTCTGTCTGTCTGTCTGTCT